ATATACTGGACTGTATGTAGCGGAGATGACAATAAAGTTTTACTTTGACTTCAGCAGCGAGCAGGCGCACCGAGGGCTCTCGTGCACACTTTTCGTGTATAGAATTTCGAAAAAACATCGGTGGAAATTATAAGTCTGTATTATAATGTCTGGTGTTTTCGTGTTTGTTAGTTTGTTTTTATTTTGTTTTATTTTGCGAGTTGGTTATTAGATGCTGCTCCAGCCAGCCAGAGAATCCCCCGCCGCCCCGCCCTCTCCTCCCTGTGCCGCAAGCAGCAGACGCACCTCGCAAACGGAGGGCGTCCTTACTCCCATGGGCGATAGAAAACCGATCGGTGCCTGTACCATTCCCAATATGCGCTGGCTGATGTCGAGACAGCATGAGGGCGTGCAATTTTTTATTTTTTATTTTTGCCGATGCCCGTGACGCCGCCCCCCACCACGATGCCGCCCCGGGCAACCGCCCGTGTCGCCCGTATCTAAAACTGCTACTGCTTGGTAGGCTGGTATAGTCCTGCTGCGATTGCAGCAACACGCCATGATGAATATTTCACAATATGTGCACACTACATGCACACAGAGAAAGACTTACCATCTTAATGTACAGTAGTTCAGGTGCATTCATGGAGGACTGCAGTCCCTATATGAAATGAAACATGCAATAATTTATACTCTGCAGTACCCCTCACATGAAGATGTACGATTTAAAACTGAGATCCTGTTTTATTACAGTAATCATGAAATCAATGAAAGAATGTTTTATATAATTCTGGGAACCTTTTTTATTAAATAAAGTGTTTATTTCCTAATCAAGTAGATGCAACAGTTACATTAATTGCATCAATTTCCTTAATCAAGCAATATTTATTCATGTAACACTTTTCATACGAGTCAACGAGTGCTTCACAGAGTGACGGGCAGATTTGGTGCTTTACAGCAGATAAAATCAAATCTTTTACATCTAATGCTTACAAACATCATCATCTTTATTCATTATTATTATTAGTGATTTAACAAGCACAAAACTCAATTCCCAAATGCCTGCTATTTTTGATCTAACATATTTTTTAAGTGACAGAACAAGAGGGTCACATTTAACATGTTCAGCCTGTCACCACAAGGTTTCTATTAAAGATTCTTCAATCTTCACCTGCACTTCAGTGCCAATTACATCAGGGTTCGCAGCCAAGTGCTAGCTTGATGAAACAGCAGGGAAGGGCTCTGAGTCTTTGTTAACTTTTTAAATTTCTTTCCATTCTTGTGCATGTCTTATGTTTCAGAGCCTCAAGCCAAATTACAAATTACAAAAAGGGGTCAGTTTGTCTTAATTACGCATGTTTCCCATGTTCCTAATGAAGTCTTTGATGGGAGATAGTTTCTTTACTAAGAGAGCAAAAGTTTGGCAACATAATGAGGAAAGAAGTCCATTAATGCAAACAAGTCAACCTGATGTGAACTGCAGGCTTATTTTTCTTAACCAATCTTGCAATGAAAAAAAAAAAATTATTTAAATTATTCTGCTTGCACCTGTGTATTACAAAGACTGCATTAGTAAATGGATTTCATCCGTGGTTACTTCCACAGAAGTAAAGTGAGGTGTATATTCATCACGACACGTGAACACAAAGGCAGTCGGGTAGAATCATTTATTTGATAGCTTTACACAAGAGAAACAAAATAGGCACACAAAACAACGCACATAATTAACACGTTAAACCTGAACACATGATGTAGATTGAACATGAAAAAAGCTCAAAGCGCAGTTGTGGCATGAGAGCACACAGTCTGTAATAATCTGCCACTAAAGCAGCTGTTTGCGTGTTACAGCTCCTCAGCTACAGCCACAAGCAACTAGTGTCACAGCCGGTGTGCAAGCAGGCACAGTGTGAAGCAGAGCATGGCATAAAGAATAATCTATAAAGTAGCTGCAGGATGTCATAGACTGGCATTTTGAATTTTTTGGGAATATTTTTTAGCCTTTAAAACAAAGAGGAAAGTTGAGTGTGAGGGTCAGCTTGTCTGGATCACAATGA